TTTAGATCAAACTGCCGGCTTCAATCATTATCCCTGACACCATCGACATCTCTGGAGAGTGTGCTCTTCTATTTCGGAGGCCTTGTGAACATCTCAACTTTTTGGTTCGGCCTAAAAATATTTGTACGTTACTACGGCACAACCCGACAAAACAGCCAGAGCATTGTTTCTCAATGAAACAACCATGATTTGACAGGTATCAATCGCTTTATGTACGGTGAGAACTGTAATCTTGTGTACACGTTTCTTTCATAATTGGTGCTATTGTATGCAATTCGATACAATATACAGAGTTTACATTCTATTTGGTGTAGTTGTGAATATTGATGACGATATGAGTATCGATATGCATGGAAAAGATACAACAAAAAGTAGAGTTCGTGGTATACGTGCACGTCAAACAATCAATTTAGTTTTATTATTAGATATAAGTTTACCGTAACTTTAGCAGATTAAATTTTAAATATACTTACTCTCGAGATACATAGCTAATTACGCACATAGTTACGGCTGTGGACCTCAAATACGCTCCTGGAATGAGCGCATAAACCCGTCTCTGTGCGTTTGTTGATTCAATGTAGCCTCTGCGCAAAGTGAATGGCTACTTTGTGACATTTCCCTTTTGTCTCATCAGGGACTTTAATGATCAGAGAATTTGAGTTTACTGGGCAATATTTAAGCAGTAAATGTTCTGAGCGCGTCAGCAGCTACATGAAAGACGAAATCTTGTATTTCCATTGCAGCGGCCGTAGCACGGTGAGACCCTGAGATACACGAAATTTGCACACCTGTAACGCGTTTTGAAAATATTATTTGCTGTTTCTAGCGGAGAATGCGGTAACCTTATCTTTTAGAGCGAACATAACTGAAGAAAAATACGACGGTAATTTTATTGTAGCATAAGTTTTTAGGGAAGCACGCGTCACCTCATCATTAAGCAAAAAATACATGAAGACATTTGGATCATAATGATGATGTTCATCTAAACTGTTCCCCTGCTCCTGCGTAGTTTGCTGGTTTGTGCAAGAAAGCACAGCGGTGGCAACAACATTTGCTTTTGCAACGGGTTGCCGCGCCTCTCGTACCGTAACCGTGTCTCTTCATCTTGATTGGTTTCGGCAGAGATCATATCCTACAGCAGTGCCAGTGTGGTTTACTTAAGTGGGCATCGGAATTTGATGGATGAAATGCAAATCCACATGATCAAGCGTCAAAGTTGTTGCGGAGCTTGCGCTTGCAGATGGACAAGCTGAGCTTCATGAGCTAGGGCTAGCTGATTTATGATACCGTTGAAGTTATCGTGAGCTCCGCGAACGGAGTGCTGACACCTTGTTACCGTTTAAAACAGACATTGAGCGCGAAATTTGTGAAGAGAGAAGTGGTGCATCTACTATGGCGACAAAAAATATGCCGTATGTCTGAGTTAAAAGAGAAACGCATGGTTAAGACTCGGTAAAGCACAAAAAATAATTTCATCGGAGAACAGACGACCTCTCTCCCAATAATAGCCTTATGGCTCTGGTTGCGAGGATTTTTTGGAATATATATAGAGAAGCTCGTTTAGCTCTTACGAGCCAATCTGACATGGAGAGCAGATCAAAAACTCAGATGTTCTCGACAGAAGAAGACTATTAACGAAGTTTCTGCGTAAGTGAGAATGCTATACGATGTATAGGTGAACTGGTGAACGCAGGAGTAGCGGATTTAAGTGCAGATATTTTTGCATTGATCAATTCGGTCAAATTAAGCGAAATTGCCTGGCTGGGATACGGTTCAGCGGTGTTGACAAATCATTTGTGTTGGACGAAGAACGATCAGCAAAATGGATTATCGACAAAGCAGCACATTCCCGATGACCTCACACAGAAATTTTTTGTTCGAAGACAAGGCCCCCGATATTAGTATCATACTAGAAGTTCCAGACGGCAAAATGTTACCCTTTAGCGATGTCGATGCGGTGGAGCTGAGAGTTGTGCGGAACAAGTCACAACTTGTCACGAAGCGTTTTGAGCAAAGTATGTAATTGATTGTTAGGGTTGCCAGCATTAATTGATCTGTATGACACTTTTTTGTGACACGGGCTGGGAGGAGGCCAGTGGGTTCATGCCAAGCGATTCCTGGAAGGTTTTATTTAAGCTGAGCTATATGTTGATGACATGATTGTTGCAGCAAAAACGGAGAAGTAGGCCAGTTAGGACAAGAAAGTTCACATAATGTAAGCTAGCTTAAGGAGGAGATTGATTACGACAGGTCAGGCAAAACACCTTTGGTCATACAGACCACCTAATCGACGGCGTGGTGAAGCGATAAGGTCAGCACAGTTTCAAGAGTGAGACAACCCGTGGTTTTTTTGGTAGCGCGATGATGTATTTGATATAGTTTATCAATAGAAGCTTTTCAGACCCTGGTGATTCATTCTGAATGCTTAAAGCTCAGTTTTCAGCTTAAAATTGTGTTTGTATTGTCCCAAGCGAGAAAAAAGAAAATTCGCAGTAGGGTTGCCTTATGAAAACGATACGCTCGAGATAAAAATGTAGCTTCTAGTCATGGCTTTGCAAAAGTGCCTTAGGCGCAGACGATAAAAGAGAAAGGTCAACTTTTCATCAGGTCCCTGAAATGATCTGATTCGATTAGAAGCGTATGTGACTGGAAACAATTTTCTTTGATAATAATGATACAACTACATGAAAGATGTGGTGATTCAAATGAGTTAAAGAATTCAATATACACCCGCGCGTTTGATGCAAAATTTTACGAGCTACAGAATTCTATAAGGATGTTTTTTGTTGAATAAATTTAATCGCATGTATCCTGAGTTTTAAAAGTGTCTGCATTAGGGAATTCAATACGACATCGACTACTCTACTTTACCTCGTCTAAGATCTGGTCTTGATACGTAACAATTGCTGATATACAATTGACAAAGTCTTGCGAGGTCTTGGGTTGTACCTTGATCTTTGCACTTCGATCGTGCATGATCGCATGTATCCTTATATAATCCTAGTCACAGCTTCGATTATGAAAATTAGCAGGTTCGTTCAAAAAATGACGGGACTTTTAGGTTCAATTTCGGCGAGATTGCCCTGACGTGTCCGCTCGCGACCTGGCCCGCTCTCGGTCTATACTTCCCTTAGAGAGGTAGCTCTACCCAAACCTCAGACCTTTGGTCAGCTGCTATCATAGTGGTCTCGTGGAGACCAGCGTGGCTGTGAACATGATGATCATGAGGTAATGGCTGTCGTTTCGACATGCGCGTCGTGCTTTTTACTGTGCAAGGTCTTTCTGAGACGATCCGGTTTTACCACCCTTTATAAATACGAAGTTTGACGTTTACTGGCATATTCGCGAGCTTTGAGTACCCAAGGCACATATCTCATGGAGGGTACGGGTTTCCCCAATTGCTGCTTCTCCAAGTGCAGCCGGTACTTATTAGAAGTGGGCTGATAAAGAGGCTTGCGGGGCGACTTTCTCGCGCCTTGGTTTGGATCTAAATGAATACTTATTAGAGCAAGTATTATCAAAATTTGATTGGCTTTTATGACTTGCGGCAGCATTTTTTCTAGCGGAAGTGATTTGATATATCCTTTCAGTTATGAGCGCAAAAAAATCTTGTCTGCCACATCGCTTCCATGTTATTTGTATCATTAAATATTTATAAGGTCAAACCAAATCATATCAAAATCATGTTTGCGTTTGTTCCCTTTTTTTGACTTAACGGCAAAAGCAGCAAAGCCTAATATTTCTAATCAATAAATTGCATATTGTGCTGAGCTAAAATCTCTCAAATTAATTGATGATTCTAATTCTTTTGGACAAAACTGACAATCTTGCTTCTTTTTTGACACTGTAATAAAAATGCCACCACTATCCATTCAGCCATTCAAGGACATTTTCATCACCATCAACTCCATTTACGCAACTTTGCGATGATCCTCTGAAACTTTGTCTCATGTCAACTGGGAGCATACACGAACAATCGTACATTTTTAAAGATCAAAGAGGTAAGAATCACCTCTGAAGGCAAACCCTTCGAGAAATCATACCCGATAAAATACCGCAAACACTAACATTAATCATCTACCAATTTCACCCAAATACAGAATAAGAACAGCCAGGTCACCACTTTTTTGCAGGTCACATACTAAATACTACATATATTTTTTATAGTATACTTTCTACAAGATAAAAAATTGAATAAAGTGTACGACAACCCGATAACGTGACCTCCTCCTTGGATAGCTAGTGTATAATATTATAAAATTGTTGATTTAAGCGCCGAATAAGAATTCCAAGCGCTGGAGTACCAATTTCTCGTTCTTCTACAGCATAGCCGGAAAACTCACGCAGAGGAAAAGTAAATTTTTGGTGTTGTCTTCCAGAGTAGTCTTAAATACAATTAAAATTTAAAATAGACCAACTTAGCGATGAAGAGAATGACGTGATTGAGAAAGCATCGATTACAAAAATCGTATGACTAATACTAGTATCTTAATTTCAGATGTGGCTTCTGAATAAAATCTGTCAGGTGATCTCAAGTCATCACTATCAAATAGCACGTATTTGGTATGACATCAATTCGCTTTTGTTTATCATATAGCAATATCGTACAATTTCTTTAATGGACTGAATTTACGAGGATCATTTTCATGACCGTCAAATGGATGGGTCATATGGATGAGCATCGGCACATTTATGACCCATCAAAACGTGACAGCGTGGAGAATGACACTTAATTTTGAGTTGGGCAATGTTTGTAAGACATGGCCATTTTGAACTTTTTCAGCTGTACTAAACTTGATCACATCCAACACGTTCCGCACCAAGAGTAAGTTATATATTTCTCTTTTGAGACACAAATTGGCAAACCATTGTTACTTGTTCACCTCAGGGTCTAATGGATCAGCAGTGTCGAGGGTGGTTACAATGAATAGCCACCTTGCGCAACAATGACATATCATACAGATCAACCTTGTTGATCTCCCAAATTAGATCCTTGTCCAATGCATCATATCAATTACAGTGCTCTTTACGCTGATCATTTTGATCCCATTTTCATGGATGACTTCTTTGATGCACTAGTAAAGTAAGTTTCAGACTTGGCATTATGCTTTTACCTAGGCTCTTTTTAAATTGTCAATTATTCTTGGTGGACGCTGGAGTTCGTGATCTACGTCTTTTACTTTTGTATATTTTCTGGTTTTGGAATCAACTGACTTCCGCAATCATCTCATGATCTCAAATTCTCCATGTCGGATTTCGACGATGAAGTTCGTCTCAGACAAAATATGTCTTCATCGCTGCTAGAGTCGTCCGAAATTTCGTACATTTTTGAGTCGTTATGTATCCCAGACACATTCAACTTTTTATCGGTTCAGATCGTGTCAATCGATATCAAACCCATCTCCGTGCGTAAATTGACATGATATATATATTTTTTATATGGAGAATAAAAAAAATGCCCAAATTTTGCCATATATAAAAAAAATATCCCAACTTTTCAAATAATATCAAAAATACCCCAGTACGTAAATTATCACCGGGGACCCGTAATATT